TTTCATTGAGATGTTTTTTCAAAACATAATAAACATATGAAATTAATTTTGTTACATTATATTACATGCTAGCATCAATTAGTTCTATCATGAAAAGCAGCTGATATTTTTCTTCTAAATCTTTTCTACCTTGTCTTTCTAGTTCTGATCAAATAAGTTTATCTGTAAAAATTTTCGAAATCTTCATATTTCAAGAGAAATTTCAATCGATCATTTCTCAAAATTTAATTTGTAACTTAAGCAACGACTAGTACATATGCTCAACCCATTCGCAATCAAAGAAATCTTCTTGTTCTTTCTCTTAATAACTTTCAATATTGAGTATAATAAGTATAGAAACATTGTTTTTCTTCAATTAATATTTGACTGTAGTAGACGAATCGATGTTTGGCATGGTATTAATGAATGAATAAACAAATTTTAAGAGAAGATACTCTATATTTCAATACTAAAACTTCAAGAACAAGGTCTCTACTTTTCATTTTTCATATATCACAGACTATTCATTGTTTTTAATCGTATTTTTAATATTTGATTGATATGCATACGTAATTATTTATCTGGAAAGAACGTGAAAAAACAATTCATTTGTTTGTTCACCATGACTAAAATTACATGGTGGGCTATGAATAACACTATGAAAAACAATTGAAATATCTGTACTTCGATTCATTCACATAAGCTGGTTTTCTTAGTTAATAATAGAAGTTTATTCGAAGCTTTTTCTTCTCATACCAATAATGTAATCAAATACTATTATTAAATACTATTGTTGAGCTCACTAAAGAAGCTTCTCCTTTCTTCAAATAAGAAAAATACATAAATAGCACTCTTCAAGATAATTTTCAATTTTTACTTAAGAGAATTAAAACAAGAAATCAAAATAAACTTTATAAATCATATTACGTTGATGTACAGAGAGTACATTCGAGAATTAGTTAGTTTAAAAATCAATGAGTTGCAATATTTCAAGTTTTTCAAGCACGAAATACTGATTTTGCAAGGAAGTCGGCAATTTAGTGCTCAAAGAACTTCAATTGTACCTTTTAGTTATCGAACACAAAAGTCAACGCTTAAACTAACTAATCCTGAACACTTATTCGATGTGCATCAATATAATATCGTTTATAATTTTTTTTTGATTTATTATTATTATTCTCTAAAGAGGATCTTTCTATTTTTGGATATTAGAATCAAAAGCCTTCAACTTTTGTTTTTTCATGTCTAATATAAATGAGGACTCTTCGTTGTTACTTCGCACTTTTATTAAACCTAACTCTCGAAGTTCTTAGCACAAAAACTCGTGCTGAGATTATTCTGGTATGCCAAATTCTTCTAATGACAATTTCTAAAGGTGCTAAGAGCATGTGTCATGAACTTCGAACACTATCGAACAGCCAGTTTTTGATCGCTTTAGTTGACGAAAAAACTTCTAATATATACAGGAAAATTTGTTGTTTGATTTTCTTAAAATCAATTTTTATACGAAAAAAAAATTTGTAGAATCGCCACCATTTCTCCTATATAGCACATTAAATCGAATTGAAACTGTTTTTTGCAGGTATTCAACACTCTTTCGGATGCTTAATTTTTCTTATGTTAAAAAATATTGCACCTTTGATTTTTGGCAGATTTTACAAAAAAGCTCTAGTAAAAAAACCATGTACTTTTGAAAATACACTCAGTATTTTGATCTTTTTATTCGAATTGAAGTAAATAAAAAGAAACCAAAAAAAGAAAGCATTCCAAACAGTGTCTGATATTCTGTAAGAAATATTGTAGCTCTATCGGATTTATTGTGGCTGAGAGAGCCGGACGATTAGGTATGCAATCTTTAGCTTTTATGACCAAAATATTTCCTAGAAGTACGTATCTGCAAGTTTGAAGTCTATCATAACTTTTGATTTACTCATTGAGATCTATCCACCTTGAAAATTGCAAACATTTTTGATGAGCTGCTCTTCAGAAACTTCGAAAAGAGGAAAGATCCTTTAGCTGACAACCGAAAATTATCTTGGAGATCGCTATACATATACTTTGGTTATCTGACAAAACAAAAAATTTTCTTTAATGAGCTTCACAAAAGTACTTAATAGTAGTATTTGTTTACATTATTCGTATGAAAAATACTTTGCATAAACTTCTATCGCTAACCAAAAACTCAGCCTATTTGAATGTATTAAAACTGAGATATTTTCATTTTTAATCATAGTGTTATTTACGGCCTACTTTGTAAATGAATTGATCGTAAAGTATGATTCTATAGCATCATATGAAAAACATCAGTTTCTTTCTAATTTATAACAATAAAAAAACTTGTGCTAGCATCGATAATAGACTCTGACCTATCCTTTATAATAATTGATAAAATAAATTGGATTTGCAATCGAAATTAATGGTCTACTGCTTCCCTTTCTATCAGTATGTTTTTTTTCTCCTTTTACTGATAAGAAACAATCAATGCACACACTCAATAATTCGAGTATCTAAAGCAATTTTACATTTAGAAATAAAATGTGGTCATATATCCTTCATTGTTTTCTGCTCTTGTTTTTATGTAATTATCAAATAAATACTCAACAAATTCCATTCGATACTATTGTCAGTTTTGGTGATTCAAATAGTGATATAGGCAATGTTTATAATTTAACAAATCATAAATGGCCTATTGTACCTCCATATTTTCAAGGTCGATTTACAAATGGTCCTGTTTGGATAGAAAAATTAGGTATATCGAATATAAAAAATTATGCATATGGAGGTGCAACAACTGATAATAATTTTATTCAAGGTTATACAGCATCATATACAATACCTGTACCCGGTGTTCGTCAACAGATTCAAATCTATTTCAATGAAACTAATATAACTACTTTGAACTTTATTCGTACACTTTATGTTATATGGATTGGTGGTAATGATTATTATTTTAATAAAACGATTAGCCCATCAACAGTTGTTACTAGTATTCTAAATAGTGTTAAAGATTTACTTAAGATTGGTGCTAAATATATTCTTATTACTAATAAATCACCTACTCAAACAATGCCATTTGTTCAGACTCAAGAACAATTTATTTATTATAAAGATCGTAATATTTATCATAATAATAATCTTTCGATTGGTATTAGAAAACTTGATTATAATCACAAAGAAGTTGTTTTATATTTGTTTGATCTTTATTCATTCATTTTGAAAATTATTGCTGATAATAAGAATTATTCATTGAACGTAAAAGATTATTGTTGGAATGTATTAAATGGTAGCGTGACTATTTTATGTTCAAATCCTGAATCCTATGTTCATATTGATCAATATCATTATACAACAAGAATGCATGAACTGATTGGTGATGCTGTACGACAATTTCTTTTAACTTCGTCTGCAGTCAATAAATCATCTTATTCTATTTTTATCATTTTATGTGTACAATTTTTTTTAACATTATCATTCTGTTCTTACGAAAAGTCGTCTTTTTTATTTCCATTTGAAATATAGTGTTCGTTTTATATTGTTTCTTTTTCAACTCACTCCATGGTATTCATTGAATACAAAAACGATTTTCTGGAACTTACCCACTATTTTCCTTCAAAAATTATTGGTATAAGTTTTCTTTCCTAGCAATTGAGAACAATAGATATCAAATTCTTTTTCTCATAGTTTCTCAGCGGTTTAGAAAAGCATTGAACGAAATTAAGAACAAGGCTTCGACTATCGTAGCACATATCAAAGCATTTTTTTGAAATTTTTAAATGGCTGGAATACGTTATTAAATGTTCTAAATAGCACAGCTTTAGATTTTAGTGCAGATAAACGATTATATGATAGACATGAAGAATAGTGGCTAGTGATGTGTTGATTTGCCATAGTCGTCATTTGAGTAATACAAAACGTATGAACTAATTAAGTTCTAAGTTTCGAAAATGATCAATATTAGCGTTTCTTAGCTTATCAACATA